ATGTGAATGTAGGAATATACTGACCTTTGCCTCCCACTCCATTCCAGCGACAGAGATGCCCAGCAGTAAGACGGCTGTAAGCGTGCCGACGATCCTGATGTCATTGATCTCGTCCGTCATGAGAGCGTCTATACTCTGATAAACACAGTGTGTTTACATTATGAATGAATATGCATGCTATATGTCAGTCCATCACCCTCAAACAACCACAGCAGGCATGCACATCTAAAATAAATACATTTATTAATTAAGTGCATGACCAAAAACACTAATGCATGAGTCTGATGATGAAACATCAAGTCTGTCATGCTCATTCTTCATCATCATCCTCCATCCAAGGCCTTTGCGTTCATACTCACATCCAGAAGTTCAACGACAGTTTCTGCAAAACCCACAACATACATGGCCACAGCGACAGCATTGGCAAAGGCAAAGATCAGACCGATGGATCCTCCAAACTCTGGACCCAAACTCCTGGAGATCAGGTAATACGCCCCGCCTGAACACATCCAATCACAGACACAAACCAAAACTATTAGAACAGAAGTCACAGTTAGTGAAGAATAACTCTCATTAACATTGATATGTTGCATGCGTTGGAAATTGATATTTGTGAACTCAGCATCATCAAATTATGTCATATAAGGCCTTTTTTTTGCAAATCAGCAGAATACTTTTTTAACATGCATTGGCTTTGGCATCAATAACTTACCAATAAACAGTAATACATACATGAAGCAATGTATGGTAAATAGTCAATTTGATGGTAAAAATGTGTAAATGCATGTAATATATGTATATATATATATATACACACATACACTTTAGCATGTATATTATATATTTATATATTATATATTATATATATTAATCATAAAATTGACTATGTACCGTTCAAAAAACCTTCCAGAATTAAATAAATGCATAAAGAATAAATAAAGTTCATGATAAATGTAATTATATATATATATATATATATATATATATATTCGAACAAAATAAAAAATAACTTAACATATCTTCTCTTGCTATTCGAAAAATAAATCATGGGTCTTGTAATTTTCATTTAAAAAAATTAACAGGCCTTACTCGAAATCACAGAGATTTGAGAATCAACTTAAAATAAATTAGAACATTCGACTAATAATATTAAATTCATTGTGCCATAGATTAAATCATTTAGGAGATTTTTCATGATTTGTTCAGGTAGATTCCATTAAAAAAATCAAGCCTCAAAAATACATCTAAGGTCTAAGACTCCTAAATAGATATTTTACAATTTTACAAATTATGTAGGAACAGTAATATATTAATTTATGACAAGAGTGCACCAGCCTATGACAATCTACATCATAACAGGAGTTCTGACCTTTGTCACAAAAAATCTTTATTTCGTTGCCTTTTTCCATATTTCATGTTTTATTAATCATCATAAGTTTATATCATTTGAAAGCTTAAAATCTCAAAATGTATCCTGTGAAAACCATTCTGAAATCGGACATTGCGTTACCATAGAAATGGTATTTCAAAATCTTTTAGCTGTCTTTTAGAATCAAAACTTTTTTTTAATCTTGACAAAATTCATATTGTTGGAAAGGTCTGAGTCTCAAGAGTCCATATTTTGTGATAGACGAGAGAGAAATTGATAGATTTGTGACAGAAATGCATAAGAATATGTTCAGTGGAGTTTGGGTGGCACCCAGTGGCTGTTTCTGGTATAACGCCTAAACAAAATTGCATATGAACCTAAATTTTTTTAATATCAACTTCAAATTTGGAACACAACTTATGTAGACATATGGCTTTAATTTTATAGCAATTTTGTAATTTTAACTATTTTTAAAAATATTTATTTTATATAAAATAAAATAAAAATAGGACAACACATTTTCTTTACAGTAAATTTAAACTTCTATAACTTTTTAATACTTTCATTTTATTAAATGATTTCACTTCTGTAATAGTCTGCTAATTGTCTTCTTTAAAAAGAGACCAACCTTAGGTCTGTATTCAAAAGCGTTCATGAATTATAATAATTTTAGTTTGGATAGTGCACTTTCTCGTGCATTTTCAAAAATGGGGATGGCAGTTAAGGGGTTAAGTATCTACCTCTCCAACTTACATAATAGAGTTATGGTTATAAATATAATATAATAACACACTGACCTCCGCGCACGAAGCCGTTGGTGGCGATTGCTGATGTTGAGAGTCCAGTGATGGACGTCACCACGATAGCCATGAGAACGACGGCGCAGGACAGAGCTGCAGGAACACAACAAAACACAGTCTGTGACTGGCCTTTCCTTCTGATCTGGGTTCAGTTCTGTTGGTCAGTTATCTTACCGATGCCCGCCTGACCCACGATCCACGACATCCGGATGAACAGCATCACTCCCCAGATGTTCAGCATGCATCGTATCTGCACACAATCATCAGCAGCAGCAGCAGCGTTCGTTAGTGTTATGTGTGTGTGTGTGTGTGTGTGTGTGTGTGTGTGTGTGACTTCACAGCGGGTTGTGACTTTGGCACCACTTTGATTTTGCTTCAAACTTTAAGGCAAAACTTTAAACATTTTAACTAACAGATCTCACCATACTTCCCCAGTTGATTAATCACATTAAGTTTTATATCACAAGTTTTCTGAAATGCAATGTTTAAATATGCAAATGAGGCACAATCTCATTAAATATGCATTAATTTGAATACATTCCCAACACATAAATCTGAATATTGGATAAAGCCAGGTTCATAATTCTTGTTTGATTTACAGTAGATTGAAAGGTTTTTGGGTTTCTCTTTTTATCGCTCCATAAATCTGAAAATACTGGCAACAGACAGAATGCAAACACATTTTCACCATGTTTTCAGGAGTAAAATGTTGTATAAATCAGTGTGAATGAAATATGAACAAACCTTCAGAATATAGAGAGGAATAAAACTGTAAAGTTTGGTGTTTGTAAGAGAATAAACTCTTTAAAGATTGAAATCTACACTGTAAAACAAATTCTGTAAAATTTTACGGTAAAAAAACGGCAGCTGTGGTTGCCAGAATTTTACGGTTTTTACATTTTACGGTTTTAACTTAAGTTTACAGTTACAGCTGGTACGGAAAGTATTCAGACCCCCTTAAATTTTTCACTCTTTGTTATATTGCAGCCATTTGCTAAAATCATTTAAGTTAATTTTTTTTCCTCATAATTGTACACACAGCACCCCATATTGACAGAAAAACACAGAATTGTTGACATTTTTGCAGATTTATTAAAAAAGAAAAACAAAGAGTGAAAAATTTAAGGGGGTCTGAATACTTTCCGTACCCACTGTATATACCGTAATTTCATTAACTGATATAATGTTAATATACCAACCTATACTGTACTGAAATCTGTTTTGTAGCTTTGACATGATGAACCAAAGCCCATCACAAGCAGCTTTTAAATAATAACACATATAGAAGATGCACAAGTCATTCACACAAACACTAAACACCATCATGCTGACACACATGAAACAATAAACATTCATTTAACAACATTAGGTGTAACACACAACCCTAATGTACAAAACTGAGAAGAAAAAACTAAGAAGAAACATAGTTATTTCAACAAAAAAACATCAAACGCAGGGAATTCTGGGAATGTCAATTTACGGTTATTCACTGTAAATTGTACATTCTTTTCCACTTCCAAAAACGGTATGCTACCGTAAAATTACATGTAACGTCCAATACAGTTTTTCACCGTATATAGTAGGGGGATTTACCGTTAACCATTTAACAGGTTTTTACCGTAGCATTTTTACAGTTTTTTACCGTTAAATTCACGGTAACTTTTTTTACAGTGTACAGACGCAAATAGATGAAGCACTTTGAAATAAACACTTAAATGTTTTTAAAAAAGTGCTTTCTTTCCATTAGTCTGAAAGAAGAGACTTGATATGGAAGCAAAATCTCAAAACTGACTAGTGCATGAAAACACACTGGTTTTGTGTGTGTGTGTGCGTGTGCGTGAGTGAGTGAGTGAGTGTGTGTGTGCGTGTGCGTGTGCGTGAGTGAGTGTGAGTGTGCGTGTGCGTGAGTGAGTGTGAGTGAGTGAGTGAGTGTGTGTGTGTGTGTGTGTGTGTGTGTGTGTGTGTGTGTGTGTGAGTGTGTGTGTGTGTGTGTGCGTGTGTGTGAGTGTGGGTGGGTGTGTGTGTACACCTGTAGACACCTGTAGTGTCTCGCCTTAAGTCAGCGACTAACTCTGAGCTGAGCTGTTTTACTGTGTGAGTCCTGGTTAACACACATGCTTTGTCAGACTCAGACATGTCCGGTGATGTTCGGGGGACACTGGGTCTTTGACAGAGACGTGCGGGTCACACGCTGACATTGTGACGTGACCCGGATCGCTCATGGTGCTGCATGGAGTGGGTGTGTGTGTGAGAGAGACTATTGTCTGAGGACAAGTGTGTGTGTGTGTGTGTGTGTGTGTGTGTCTGACGTCACACGAGTCACTCAACTTACAACCAAGAAACATACAGATGAATCAGCTGCAACGCACATCACTCATACTGCAATAACACATCTGAATATGATCTGATGACAGCTTTTAATATCACATTTATGCTGCATGTCATTTTAAAATAATAAAGTGCTTGCAGAGAGAACGACACAATGGGCTTCATACAGGAAATCAGACCGGGGCTAGTTGTCACAGGCACGAGAGCTCAGGTCTGAGTTATAAAAGCTTGTTCTCTAGCTGTGCATGTTTTGTATGTTGGTTTCAAACAATCATTACTCATTCATTTTGAATCAGAATTCGGTGAGCAAAAATGATGATTTGATATTTTAGTTACATTTACACATGCACATTTAAAATGCTGTTATTGTACTGTAGGCTATCATTGAGATACTATTATAATTTATTTGAAATATTTTGAATTAGTGGTCATTTTTGTATTTTCCTTTTTGTATTTTGCATTTTGCATTTTCATTTTAGGTTAGAGTTGTAGTAATTTTATTGTGTGTTTTTGTCATTTTCATTAGTATTTTTTACGTTTTTTGCTGTATATCGGCGCCTACTTTATTTCAGTTTTAGTTTAGTTATTATAGGATATGATTTGATATTTTTGGAAGTTATCTTTTACACATTTGCATTCTCATGAATTGCTTTGTATTTTATTGTTTAACAGTTTTAATTATTGCTGGAAACCCTTTAAATATCATACATCTAAAATATTCTGAGAGCAGTGTTTCATTGATGTAGCCTACTATTTGTTAATATTTTGAATTAGTTTTTATTTTTGTATTTTCTGTTTTACTTTTAGTATATCTTGTGATGCGTTTTTGTTATTTTTATTAATTTTGTATATTTTATATATATATATATTCCTGATATATCTTCTTTAATAATTTTTTTAAGTTTTAAGTTTTTTTGAAGTTAAGTTACATGAAAATGAGAAATGTTGCTTTAGTAACTAACTGATTTCATTTTATTTCAGTTAACGTTTACTTTCTTACTTTATTAAGTAAGGAAACTTTTTTTTTAATGGTTTTAGTCTTGAAAGTGATGGCTTTCATTTCGGACAGTATTTCAAACTGGTATTATTATTAAAAGGTATTATTGTGTTATTAAACAGAACGTTCATATTCTTACAATTCATCTCATTTTGTAGACAATAAGTTTAAAATGAACCCAGTAAATCGTGTGACAACATGCCCCGCTCCCTATAACTCGAGCAGCATGTGCACAAATAAGCCACAGCCACACGGTATAACAGTACATCACTGAGAGCGTCAGGCGAGAGGTGTTCAGCACAAACCTTGTCGAGTTCATCGTGGAGTTCCGACAGCGACGGGCGCAGGAGCTTCTCCCCGAGCGGAGCTTCCGTCTGCCGGTAGAAGTCGATGTTGGGCACCGCGTCGATGGTGTTGTGCCCGAAGGTCCGCAGGTAATACGTGCTGGAGTGCGTGTCCGAGAAGTGGCTGAGACCTCCGGTGGACGAATGCAGACTCGCCTCGCTCCGCACCGTGTCTCCGTTCACACCCGCGTCAGGCGCGGCGTCAGACGGGCTTAAGAAGTTCACCACCCGGAACCGGCCCTTGGACTCCTCACCGGTGGAGGAGCGAGATCCCGGCGGAGTTT